AGAGAGTAACTTTAGTAGGAGTAAGGAGAGAGAGAGAGAGAGAGAGGAAAGAGAGCGAGAGAGAGAAAGAGAGAGGGATAATAGAAAAGGAGAGAAAGGGTATAAAAGGATGTTTGTGAAATAATCAAAATGAAAGTTCAAAAATCATTTCCAATACTTTTCTATCATTAATTTTCACATTAATCATAAACTATTCATGAATAATTGGATGTAAAAATCAGACTGCTTCATTAATAAATTAAAATATCGGAAAATGGCAATGTAAAAGTGATAGATCGATTTACAAAATACGAAAACTTCATCACTTTTAATTACTTGAATGTGTGCTTAATTAATTAATTAATTATTAATTATGCGGATAAAATATCCTTCAAAAGAGAAATTTCATTTAAATTTTATTGCAAGTAAACAGCTAACCGTTCTTTTCCGTCATCTTTTCATTTGAATATAGCGAAATGCAAAAATATTTTTTTTTGCGCCAAATTATCTATTCATTACTTTTAAATGATTTATCGAAAATATGGCGCTTTTGTCCATACCTTTGCGCACTAATTATAGCTAATCATTCATTTATTCATTTATTCGCAAAGAGTATATCAATTAAAATAGATCTTATTAAAAAGGAATTAAAAATAATTCTTGTCTTCAAAAAAAAAAAAAAATTATTATTAAGAAAAAAAATTATCAGCTAGATTAATTCTAAAACGATCTAATACCATCTTTCATCTAAATTCATTTCAGATCTGTTATCCTATCAATAGATTATCATTCTAATCATCAGATCAAAAAATTTATTAACAAACGAATCATTTACCTTTAAAACGTAATATGGTACTTTTATCTATATTTTTGATAAAAATTTCTGACATAAAATGTATTTTACAAATCAGAATTTCGAATATGAAAAAGAGTATTTTCTAAAAATTTAATTTTTGGCATTGAATTTATAAACTAATTGATTGCTAGAAAATAATTTGCAAATAAGCAAAAGAACAAATAAATTTGAAAAAAAACAGGAAGAGATTAAATTTTAATTATTATCAAAGTAATTGCTTTGACAAAAATACATTACTTTGCATAAGAAAATTAAAAGAACAATTGTTGAAAATTCTTTCTTTTTGTTAAGCCTAAATTAAATTTAACATGTATGGTTTAGTAAAGTGTTTAAAAAATATAAATGAGTAATTATAACAAAGTGTAATCCCTAATAGTACTTACCTGTATTCATCATTTACCTAATTCATAAATTAGATGAGAAAAAGTTTTGGGAAAGAAGAAATTAGCACGAAAAATTGAATGAAATGCTGAAAATACTGTATGATACAATTATAAATTAAATTTTAATTTACAATTCAGCAGTTTCAAAATGGTTGAAATAGTATTTCAAATTAACAGAAGAAATATGGTATTGTGAAAAGAATGAAAAGAAATTTAGAAAATGACAATTTGGAATTCAATTTTGAGGGCATTTGACAAAATTATCTGAAAGACATTTTTCCAATCAAATATGATAATGCTATTCTGGTTTACTAATTTTTTTTTAACTTCTTGTTAAAGAAATCAATAAATTCATCTTAAAATTAATTTCAAACTCCCAAAATGTCCTTTAATTATTTTTTATTTTTCTTGGAATAACTGAGAAAATTCTTTTTAAAAAATCACTGCATCCCGTTAATAGTAAAAATTAAATCAATAATAAACTGATATTTTAGCAGATATGAAATGAATGAAATAAAGTGAGTAGTACTGATAAGAAAAAAAATTAGCAGTTATGATATGGTATCTTTATTTATTTAAATATTAGCGCATTTTATCAAATAATTTTAACTCAAAAATTACGCTGATAAAGAAAAAAAATTAACGAAACTAAAAAATTAACTTTTTAAATGGTGCTTTAATCTATTTTTAAACATTAACGCATTATTGAATTTATCAAATAATGATGTTGAAAAAATTCAAAAATTAAAAAAATATACTAAATTGATTTCGCTAATTAATCTATAAATAAATGAACAGGTAAGCTTAAGATCAAAAAGGATAAAAGTATTATTTGTCATTTCATAAATTCATTCTATTCCTTAATGATGGATGATTAATTGTAAAGATAGAGGGAGAGTAGAGAGGGAGAGAGAGAGAGACAAAGAAAGAGAAAGAGAGAGAGGAAATTGATGATTGACTGTTGTTATTGTTGTCAGTATTGCAGTACAAAATAATTCCACTGAAGCATATTCATAAAGATGGGGTCACTCACCAATCATGACCTTCGCAAACTGACCTTTCCTTATCCATCAATACATTTCATCCATTTCATCTTTTCCAAATCTCTCATCCATCTCACTCAGATTAGAAAAATATCCTTTTTGTTCCTTCTCTTTTTGCTTTCCCACTTTATGTAAATTTCAGGAAAACAATTTAAACTAAAAAAAATTGTTCCAAAAGTTTGAAAATTCAACTATTTGCTCTTTGCTAATAAATTTCAATTTAATCATTCATTCGATAGATATAAAAATTTTTTTCAATTTAAAAAAAAATTTTTTAAAATTTCTCAAATATTCTTAACATAAATTCAAATTGTAGCAAAAAAAAAATTTGCATAATGATTTATGAAAATGTTGGAAATATGTGGTATTTTATACAATATATTATAGTATTATCACAACTGACCACTATCCCATCTCATTTATCACTATATCACTCTTTTCCATCTCATTTATCACTATATCACTCTTTTCCATTCATCTATCTATTCTTCTCGCTCATCCCTCAATGATTGTAATCAATAAGCCATATTTCCTTCTAATCACTAAATTATCCTTTTTATCATTTGTATTGAATTGAGAATTTTTGAGCAAATGCTTCGTTGTTATTTCTTTTTTTTCCTTCTCGGACAAATCCGCCCATTCTCAACGGTTGGATGAATGAATATTGAAAAAAAAAAGTCATTAGTTTGTTGCCTGTAAAATGCAATTAAAGATTGGAAAGAGTAGAAGGAGGAGTTTTGAGGGGTGAACGGATTCCAAATTGTAATTTCAAGGTATCGGATAGATTTCACCTTGAAAAGTTCTTGTTATTTCCTTTTCTTCCCTCATCTGGAATCCACTTTATCACCATCATCACCATCATCATCACCATCACCATCATCATCATCATCATCATCATCATCATTACTCATTGGACTATTTCAAATTTCTAATGTATTTTAAATTAATTTCAATCCTATCCAGTTTTAGCTTATTTCTACTTTTAATGGAAGCTTACGTAAATTTACGTGAGTAAAAGTGTAAATTAGATAATTCATTTATGTGAATAAATTTAATAAATAAATACATTTACGTAAAACATTTATGTAAATAAATTAGATGAGATAATTCGTCTAATTTTCAATACTTTTTTTGTTGTTTCTTTTCTTTTTTACTTTGGTAAATTTACATTAACAAGAAATTTATTCGCATCGAATATTTGAAGAAACATATTTTAATGGGAGCATTAAAGAGAGATTGTAACATATTGCGGGGCGGTAAAGGTATGTATGTATATGTTTGGGTTGCTTAAATATAACGTCAATTAATAACAGATGTGTTTCTCATGATGACACATATATGTAAGTGACAACGGTAGTGGCACCAATCAGTCGTAACTTTACTTCATGAACTGTTAAGCATACTTTTCACTGCGATTCTTAAAATTCTATATTTGATGGGATAAAAATCAAACTTTTTTTTTTTGCAAAGTCAAACTTTTGGAATTTAACGAGAGAAAAAAATGAAAATTTTTCCTTTGTAAAATCAAATCTTGTAAATATTATAAGTTTAAATTTCTTTTACCTTCTATTTATTAATTTTAAAATTCAAAAATTTATTTTCATTTTCCGTTTTAGAAATATACGTTTTTATTTGTAAATTTTACTTGAATGATTGAAATTTTTGCTTTCTATTTCATCATCGTAAAATTTGAATTGTTAATAATTGAAATATAAGGGAAAATATTTGAGAAAGGTATAAAATCCAGCAATTCGCCTTATTTAAATTAGTAATTTCATACTTTTGCTTTTTCTGAAAACAAATTTCCATACATTTATTAAATTGGCATTGGAATTAATTAAATCAATTTTAATTTTACAATATGAACATGATTTAGTGTAATCTATTAAAACTTTTCCGATATCATTTAAATATCATAATTCCTGAATTCCTGAAAATTAAAAAGAATTGCGCCACTTTCACAAACGAATTCAAGATAATTTTCTTTTTTAGTTCCTTTTGAAATTTTATTCTTCTCAAATATATCCATAACTCATACTTTTGCTATAATATCATTCGTGGAGAGTAAATTTGCGATGCTTAAAATCAATTTCCCTCTTTTTAGCCACATAATTAATAATTAGTGAAGCTTGGCTTAAAACTTTATGTTTCGTCGTGCCACTTGCATGCAAGTTGTATGCTATACTGCAATTTCACTCAGTTTCTCTCTCTTTTTTTCTCTCTCTCTTTCTTTCTCCCTCATTTTCATTTCTCCATTTTAGCTCTTAAGCTCAATTGTCCATATTTTCCTTCCCGTCCATAAATGGCCGTTGTCGTTGTCTCTTTCAGACATCATTCCCTGTACGATTGTCCACAAGCTTTCTCTTACAAATTATTTGTTTGATTTGCATATTTGATCTATGATCATTCCATTCTACCATTATTGATTATTCTCGAATGAATGAATAAAGCTTGAATTGTGACAACATTTAACCACAAGCTATCATTCGTTCACTTTCAATTTCTATCAATCCAACTGATAACCGATTGATAGTAATCAATGGTCACCTTCAGAAAATATTCTTTTCCGTATTTCTGCCATGAAATTAAACTGATAACCGGATAAGGAAGAATTGAAAATGCAATAAACATTCAATTGGTTGAAAGATTATTCCCTCCGGTATATTTAATCCTCTCTGTCTTCTTCTTTTTCATATTTGTGCTAATCTTTTCCTTACTCAAGTGATATCTGAAAGCTTGTTGTATATGGGATGTTTTACTATCGTCGTATACCATGTACTATTTGTTCATCGAGAACGAGATCTCTCGGTACAACGAGTAGTTCCACTATTACTTCCGGTACTTCTACTTCAGCTGATCAGTTTCATCTTCGTCAAACAAATTGCAGTTTCAGGTAAAATGCATTTTCCGGAATATTTCCAGTGCTTTTTATTAAAATCCATTCTAAGATTTCTTTTCCAGGAAATTTTTAATTTTTCAACAATACCATGTTGTTTAATCATGCTACTGTTATTTGTGCACATTCTTTAATTTTAAAAATTCTAATTATTATACACTATTATTATTATT